TTGATCTGAATTCCCTGGTCCACAATTTAAGTCCAAAAGTGGAATCTGTCTAATCCAGGTGACAATTATAATAAAAACAACTAAGGCTTAAGGGGTTTACTCTATGCCGGATACCTTATGTCCTTGATCGCATTTAATACACTAATAGGCTATAAGTATTATTATTTCCATTCTACTAATAAGGAAACCGGCTTCGAATGGACAGATGCCTTGGTCATGCTCTCACGTGTGCGAGAGCCAGCCTGCCTGAGTCCAGCTTATATTCTCAGTCACTCCCCCCATCAGATCCAATCCTTCTTTCAAGGAGCCAAAGACCTAGCGTGGCCATGGCCTTTGACACTCAGCTTCTCGTGACACATGTCAGAAGTCCTGTTCCTTTCCATTGTATTTTCCTTCCAATATTAAGGTAAAATGCAGAGTTTGTTTTGATTTCTTTTTGCCAGACCTCCCCCCCCCCCCCCCCCCACCCGCCATATGTTTCTAGCATGTGGCTGAGAAGAACGCAGATATTCATGTCACACATGGGCTCTAGACCGCGGAAAAGGAAACCAGCTAGCAGTCCTTGTTGGCCTCCAGTTGTGGTTTGTACCAAGCAGTGGTGTAGGCGATCATTCTTCCATGGTTTCTGATTTCTCGATTGGATCTAAGATTCACTCAGCTTTTTTGGCTTCTTCACTTGCCTGACGTTACTGCATGGCTGATCCAGCCAGCTCTGCCCCTTATCCCATGAGTCCCACTCATCCTCCAGCTGACTCACCTGGACACCAACCTTATCCCATACAGGCAGACCTTGTTTTCTGCCCTGGCCAGTGCCACACCATCTTGCTTAAGAAAAGCCTCGAGTTTTCCTGTAGTTTGTTAATATCTTCAGCCAATGCATTTATCCAAGGCCTGCTGTAGTCAAGGCCCTGTACTAGGCCCTACAGTCTCCACGGTGCTGAGAGAGGAAATGAGGTGCCATGAAACAGACCACGAGTGATAAGTACCATTAGGAGAGGCATGGATAACATGCTTGGGGAGTTCTCAGGAGGGAGGTATTATGTCCGTCTGGAAAGCCCTGATGGGAGAGACACTCAGCTTAGCCTTGAAGGTTGAATAAAATTTGAACATGAGGAAAGGAAGAGAACACCTGGCACGAAGATACAGCGTGGGTGAAGGCACAGAGGTTCGACACGCAGGGCACGTGTACGAAACGGTGTGGTTCCGTCTTGCCGAGGCATGGAGTCCGTGAGGAGCTTTTTGGGCCCTGCGCTCAGAGGCTTTCAAGATATTAAAGGGAGGATGGCAGAAATACACAGATGAAGGCAAGAGCGGCCCCCTGGGGGCCAGAGATATGGTTAGCTTGGCCAAGACGCCGCTTGAAATATTTGAGCCAATTCTGGAAATCGGATTTCACGTTAA